AAGGACTTGATTACATCTGGGTTGACTTTATGGTAGTATTTTAACTACCTACTGTTACTTAGTGTCATGCTGGGGACATTAGGTACTCTTGACTTTGATGACTTTTCACTCCATGTTAATTGATAGCAACATGATAATAGCTTATGTTAAATTTCTAACTTTGGAAGGCTTGGCATAGTGGTTCTCAAACTGGCCATAGATTGGACTCACCTCAGATGTTTCAAGAAAAACATTGGTGCCTGGGTCTCACCCATCACTCATAGATTATGACTCAGTGGGTCTGTGGTGTAATCTTGGTGTTGGGTTGTTTAAAAACTTTCAGATGATTCTACTGTGCAGCCATACTTAGAGAGGTGCCACCTGGTTTAGAAGAAATAATCTTAAAACCTAAGCAGGAGTGACTTTTTAATAAATTACAAAGTAACTCTTTAGTAAAATATTAGGAATATGTGATCAATATGAAACTAAGACTATCATTAGTAAAATTCAAGTACTATGCTTCTTCTAGGGAACAGTGTGCTAGTAAGTGTTTCAAACCTTATCCTCAAGAGACAAAGCCTTAATCAGTTGTATTTTGCCTATTTCCCTAGTGTAAATTCTCCCATTGTGGCTGATTTCAAGCTACCAATGGTTTGACAACCAACATGCCACATTCCTAAAAATCTAACAATTAACTCCCATGGAACTGTTTAAGCCAGCTCGGCACACCACTGCTTCTAAGAGAACTACACCAAGTAGGCATGCCAATCACTATCTGATTGACATCAGATAAGTTACTTATACTTTGGGGGTTAAATGTACTTACTTAGGTTGCAGTAGATACTCATCAATTGCCAGTTTTAAAAGTTGCTTAGATTGACAGAGTTATATAGCAATGTTTATAAGCTTTCTATGGATCCATCTTAATAGGTTTCTTGATCGTTTTTACTTTGTGTAAATAATATTCTTAATAAATTTGGTCTGCAAATGAAAAGCTCTGAGATCTTGTGCAGGTCTCTGCATTTTGAGGTTGACTAAAATGACCTATTTGAATATCATGCACATTACTAGATAAAAAATAATAACACAAGAATCTATCATGCTTCTCATGCGCCAAGCACTGTTCTAAGCTCTTCACGTATATCAACTTATTTATTACTCACAGCTCTGAGGTGTGTTCTATTACTATCCCATCTTGACAGATGAAGGAACTCAGGGGCAGAGAGGTAAAGTAACTTGTCCAATGATGCACAGTTAGTAAGTAGCAAACTGGAATGTGAACTAGGCAGTTTGACTGCCAAAAAGACCTAGAGAATTGAAGTTATTCTGACACTATTTTTGAATACTGCATAACTCTGCAGTCACCGCCCATCCCTACCTTTCCGGTTGTTTGAAAATCTTTTTCAAATCTAGCAGTATGTATCACCTGCTGAAATAATTATGTTATCTTTCTCACTATCAGTGGAGTGCCATGTTTCCTGCTATGAAAGCAAAATGTACCCATGATTTTTGTAGAAAACAATTGTATTTACTGAGGAATACATTGTACAGACAGTCTTATTACCCAAAACCACTAAAAATGTCAGTGGTTTTGAAACTCTCTTTTTTATGGCTTTATCTGGCTGTAGACAAAAAAATAAACCACACCTGGATTATGATGCTCCCAGACACATGTTGACCAAAAGCCCAGAAGGACTTGCCAAGTGCAGCTTTTATTTTCCTAAATTCTTTTTGGAAATAACTTCAAATTTGCAGAAAAGTTTCAAGAGTCAGACTAAGTCAAAGAAAACATAGCTTTTACCTAAATCAATGTATTGTTATATTTTATCCCATTTGCTCTATCAATTGCTCTCTTTCTGGATGTATGTATATAATTTGTGTACACACACAATGATTTTTTTTTTCTTAAATTTTTGAGAGTAAATTGCACACATAGGGACCATTACCCCCAAATACTTCAGTGTATATTTCCCAAGAATAGGGATATTGTCTTACTTAATCACAGTAGACTTCTAACCTAATTTGCCATCTTTATTCCAACTTGCCGGTAAATCTAATATAGTCCTTTGGAATGTTAATTGTATCTGTAGCACAGGGTCCAGTCTAGAATCATCTACTGAATTTAGTTGTCATGTACTTTTAATATCCTTTAATGTGGAACATTTCCCCAGAGCCTTTCTTTGTCTTCTGTGACATTGACATTTTTGAACAATTCAACCAACACCCCCTTCCCCCCTTTTAATAGAACATTCCTCATTTGGAATTTGTCTGCTGTTTCCTCACGATTAGACCCAGACATAGATTCCAGGCCAGAATGCTACATAAGTGATGTCACTTCCTTCTCAGGGGATCACATTGGAAGCCACATGTTTTTCTTCCGCCCGTCATTTGCAAGGTTAATGTCAATTAGCCGGTCAAGAGGTCGTCCAGTTTTCCCACTGCACAGTTGCTATTTTTCCCTTGCAACTAATAAGCAATCTGTGTGGAGATACTTTAGGACCAACCTAATATCCTGTTCCTAATCAGAATTCCCCTCTAGCTTTAACATCCATTGATAATTCTTACCTGAGCCACTATTTACTGTGATGGTTAAAAAACCATCATTTCCCAATTGCAGCGCTTCTTCCACTTTTACCAGTGAGCCCACTGCATCCTACAGTAAGGAAGGTAATTCCTCCTCCTTCCCCCTCTTTCTCTCCCTCCTTCCAGTATGTACTCACAGATTCTTATTTTTCCCCAGTGGTTTATAATTGATGACTTTTCTCTATTTATCCCAGTCCAGGCCAATGGAAGCACCTGCAAGCTCACTCACATAGTTGGGTGACAGATCTCAAATATTTATTTGAAACAACATCCTTACTTTCTGGCATAACAAGATATTTTAGGCTCAGGTTGTCCCTGCTCTACCTCCCATTGGAATCAGCCATTGTTCCAAGGAATCCTCCTTTATTTTAGTGGGCATGAAGTTAGACCCTTGGGCACTAGGTGTACTCATTCCTACTGAGGCGTCTTTGTTTCTAAGCTCTTTGGGCAGATAAAGCTAGGAAATGCACGTGCATGTGTATACCTACATTAAGTCTCTCTCATCCACGGATTCACTTTCTGTGGTTTCCGTCAGTTACCTGCAGTCAACTCAGGTCCAAAAATATTAAATGAAAAATTTCAGAAATAAAACAATTCATAAGTTTTAAATTCCCTGCGGTTCTGAGTAGCGGGATGGAACCTCCTGCCATTCTGCCCTGCCCAGCCTGGGATGTGACTCTTCTTCTTGAGGCTCCCGGCCTCATAGGCACTGAGGAGCCATCTGGGTTATCAGATCGCAGGGTTTGTTGTGTTCAAACAGCCTTGATTTTACTTAATAATGGCCCCAAAACGCAAGAGTAGTGGTGCTGGCAATTTGGATGTGCCAAAAAGAAGCCACAAAGTGCTTCCTTTTAGTGAAAAGGTGAGTACACAAAATAAGATACTTAGAGAGAGAGAGAGACCACATTCACATAACATTTACTAGAGTATGTTGTTATAATTGTTCTATTTTATTGGTAGTTATTGGAGTTACTGTCTTACTATGCCTAATTTACAAATTAGACTTCATCATAGGCATGTATGTACAGGGGGAAAATACATAGCATATATAGGTCTTGGCACTATCATAGCTTCGGGCATCTACTGGGGGTCTTGGAACATATCCCTCAAGGCTAAGGGGGGATGACTGGATACATACACATGACACATATATACATACACACATAAATGCATGCAGGTATGCATGTCCAATTATACACACACACACAAGCATATGCCTTAGAAACCATGAATTTGCATCTATTCCAGTCCATTTTCACATAGTTCTTACTTCCCCCATTCCATAGTTGTATGTTTCTTCTTCCAGAGGGAAAATTCTGGCTCCTAACATCAATATGTTCTCGTTTGCTCAACCATGTACACATATGAAATAGTCTCATTATTATCTGAACACAGTGGTCCCCTATTCCTGCCTGTCAAAACCAATTGGACACAGTAATTTCACGCCCAGTAATTTATCCAAGAGAAAGGCACTCGTGTGTCTACAGCCTCGTATAAGAATGTTTATAGGAGCTTTGTTTATCATTGCCAAAAACTGGAAACAGCCCAACTGTTTTAAGAGAATAAGGGAGAAATAATCTGTGATACATTCATGCAATGGAATCCTGCTCAGCAATACACAGAAATGTGTTACTGCTTCACGCAACAATATGGATGAATTTCAAAAGCATGCTGAGTTGAAGGCAAACAAAAGGACACATATGAGTCTATTTATATGAAGTTGGAGAATAGGCAAAATGAATTTATGGGGATAGAAACTAAATCACTGTTTGCTTTTGTTGGAGGCGGGACAGGGCAGGACATTAACTGGGAAGGAGCCTGGGAAAACATTCTGGGATTGAGAAAATGTACTATGTCTTGATCAGGATGGGAGTTACATGGGTGCATGAGTTTGTCACGACGGACTGAACTCTACCTTTAATATCTGTGCATTTCCCTGTCTATAAGTTAAACTTCAATTTTAAAAAACTGGCTGAAGTAGAATAGAGGCTGCCTGTTTAGCTGAAACCAGAATCCTTGTTTTGAAACAGCTCCTTCTAGATTGCCTCACTTCTGCTCCTCCTCTGTCATTACTCTCCCAGCCCCTGAAGGCATTTGCGTTTGCTACCCCTGGTCAGTATGTTTGCTTCCTTTTATTATCATTTGCAAGTTTACGAAATACAAAACAGGTTAGAATTCTACGAATAATTAAATGACATTATCAACTATTTAGGTCAGGCTAATCTGCATACTTTAATAGAGCAAAGATATGCATGCAAATTGAAAATATTTAAATAATACTGAATTGTAAATTAGTCCTCAGTGGAGGCCTTTGCCTATCTGATCTATTTAGACAACAGCAAGAACAAGCAAACCAGTGTAGCCAGACTCTGCCCATGGAAACAGCTGATTTTCAACATTTACTGAGCAAATACCAGTTCAATGAGGAATCGATTTTCTCAGACCTTCTCATAAATCCTGGTGCAGACCACGCCTTTCATCTTACATTCCTCAAAAAAAAAAAGAGAGAGATCAACTGAATATCTAAAGCTCAAACGAAAGGACAGCAAATTTGTAGCAATAACAGAAATTGAAAACATAAAAACAATCTCATGAGATTAAAGTTAGAAAAGATTAAAATATCAGCATGTAAATCTTCAATAATTTAGTCGTGGCCACTAGGACAAACAGTTTTGAAGTTGATCTATGCTACGGCAGGAGAATTCTTTTAAAATGACAACTCTTTCTATGCTGTACACCTGAAACTACTTCAAAATGACATTGAGTGTCAAAATAAGTAAATAAATACGTAAAACACAGTGGCAACATTTTATGCATAATTTGCATGCTTTTGAATCTACCAAAACAATGGTTTTCAAAATTATCTGCACATTTGTATTGTCTGGGGAAGATTTAAAAATACCGAGCGATGGCTCCTCCTCCCCCGAAAGGTTTGATCTGTGTTGGGGCCCCCAAGCTGGTTCTCGCTCCTCACTTAAATCTATTGTGCAGCCAGGAGGAGCCTCTGTCCTAAAGGAAGAGACATTCAAAACACTGTGCGAATCTATGTATAGTCAATGTATGTGTTAATTAGTAAGCACAGAACCTAAACCTTTAAAAAATCGTTAGAGGTCATCTCACGTAACCTTTGTCATCTTTCTCATCTGCCGACTGGAGAGGCCTCCAATGAGCTCGGCTTCAATTATTGACTCGGTTTAGTCCAAGTTACAACGGATTCTTGAAAACAAAATGCTTAGATAGCCACCAACACTCTACAGCGGAGCCTTTCAGGTTTGTTTTGCTTTTAGAACTTAGACTTACTTTTCTCTCTGTGAGTCCCAGCTAGTGGGATCTATCCATACACTTTTTTTTTTTAATTGATTTCAGAGAGAGGAAGGGAGAAAGAAAGAGCGAGAAACATCAATGATGAGAGAAAGTCTCCTGCACGCCCCCTGCTAGGGATGGAGCCTGCAACCCGGGCATTGACGGGGAATTGAACCTACATCTCCTGGATCATAGGTCAGTGCTCAACCGCTGAGCCACACCGGCTGGGCTCCATACACTCTAACTTTACTATCATTTCTAAAATAACAAGTAGGCTTTCTTAGTTCTAAATTCTCAAACCTAAACTCAAACTCTTGATAGTTTAAATATCACCCAAGTTATTAACTCTTACTTCACTCAGCCATTCTTATGGGATTGCAAAGAAAAAAAATAATAGTTTGAAAATAATAGAACCAATTTCTCTATTTAAGTGACATTATTTCTGGTTTAGAAGTAAAGATCTTCTTACCACTACCATTTTCCCATCCACCAACTTCCTCTTTATTGTGGTCTCTTTGCCATCCCATTTCTGCACTTGATTCAGTGAGCCTCTCTCCAAGGTTACGATGCTCTGCAAAGACAAGTTCACATAACTGACTTGCTTGGCCATTGGTGATTAAAGAAGCAGTTTATTCAGTACTGAATCCTTTTCATAAGAGAGGTCCCTACAGGCCATTCTTTTCCAACAGAATGAAGCAGTCTGCCCTGTCATCACTAGCAGGAGTAATTTTCTCTCAAGCTGGAGACTTTGAAGAGAAACATTGAACTTTACCTTTGTTTTCCGGTTGTCAGCTGTGGTTTCTTCAAATTCCTGGCCTAGCTTGAAGGAGATCTCTGTATTTTTAAAGGTGCTTTCAGTCCTTATGGTTATCATATCCCCTTTCTTACTGATGATCACTCTGGGTTTGGCCAAATTTCCCAGTTTTCTGGTGGCTAGCCCCACACCTGAAAATCAAGGTAGTATTAGAAATATGTTGACCCAGAGAGAGCACCCAGAGAGACCGTAGGCCACATTCTGGGCTCAGATGTGCCTCGGGTGTGTAGATGGTAGATAGTGTCATCACTACTAAGGACCTCCTCCCAGGTTTCATCTCCTAATGGAAACGCATGCCATGGACTTGAGTATTTTAAGTTTTGTTATTATAAAAGTAACATCTGCAAATTTGAAAGATAAAAGCATTCAGCCTGAATCATGCAAATCATCCACCTCCAACCCCATGCTCCACTGAAAATCACTATATAGTTCTGTATGGACCAGTACAGACATTTTAGTTTGTACATATGTTATAGATGTATTTTTAAATGATATGATAACATATACACATTGTTCCATGACTTTTCTCCCTTAGTAACATATTGTGAATATAGAAAAGAATTCCCCCACATCCCAGATTGAATCTCATTTCCGAAATTTTATTGCTGCCCTTAAATCTAGTGGGTAGGAAAAAAACAATCCATCTCCCTTCACGACCTGGACCATTCCAAATGTTAATAAGTAAATAAAATATTTTTTTAAATATTTCTGCATTTGAAAAACAAAATAAAATTAGACTCAGGTATTATTATTAGTATCCAAGATTATAGAAATACATGGAAAAAAAAGAAATGTCAAATGAGAGAAATATATCAAAAATATATGAAAGAACAACTAGTATATAATACACACACACACACACAGGTGGGCAAAAGTAGGTTTACAGTTGTGTGTACATGAAGCAAAAAGTTTATTCTTGTATTATTTATTAATGTATTATTCATTTTTACTACAACTGTAAGCCTACTTTTGCCAACCCCTATGCCCAGATATATATTAAATAAGAAGTGAAGAGTTAGACCTAATAAAGAATTGTGAACTGTACTCTTTTTTTCTAATTCTGATTAATCTTGTTGTCTTATGCAATTTAGGGCAATGTTTTTCATACTAAATTTCTACAATAGAGCCTGAGAATCTACATTTTACCAACCCCCCAAGTGTTCCTATGCATTCTAAAAGTTAAAAATGACAGAATTAGGGAGTCTTTTGTTGAGACTTTCTTATATTTTGCTGCTTCTTTAGCTGTAAAGTGAAATCCATACATTTAACAAATCTGCTAGTATGGATCTATCCCCGTAAGGTCTCATATTTTTCCTGGGAACATGACAGGATTTTGTGCATTTTATCTTTAAATAGAACCTTTCTCATTGCATTCTGAACAGGTAAGTGATGCTACAAGCACTTTGAAAACCAGGGCAACCTGAGGTCATTGGCATCGCTGTCTCTTAGATTTATACAGTTCTGGGAATGTTCAGATTCTTCCCATTTACTGGGCTCATATCTATGGAACATTCTCTAGAAATAGTGTCAAATAAAGTTGATGTAACTGATAACTGGATTGTCCATCTCCATCCACAGCTCCAACTCCAGGAGAGCCTAATGTTGGTGTAACTGAGTTTGAATTCACCACCACAACCCAATTCTTTTTGTCTCAGTAACTTCCTTAGGCTGTGAGCATCCTGCTTTAATGCATTTTGTTTCTATAAACTATTTACATGATTACATAATAACAGACAACCTATAGGTAGAGAGAGAAAACTTATAGTTTAGCTAAACATCAAAATTTTAACTTCAGGGTCTTCAACTCCTTATACTATGAGCACTTTAGTTGTTATAAAACTAGCTTTCAGGAAAGCCAGGGAATGGGTTGACTAAGCTTTTAAGATTTCTTTCCTGCAGGTCTGAACCCAAAGCCCTAATGATATGAAACTGCCTTTGGAAATTGTGGGAGTTCCGTGCATTTAAGCAACTCTTGTGTAGGTTAAAATCTATTAAAATTGCCACAAACAAAATGCAAACAAATGATCTGACTGACACAAGAGAAGATCAGTCTCAGAAGAGGACTGCACTTCAGCCTGTGCAAACTGCCCCAGACTCCTAGAAAAGGCGTTAGAAGGCAGTAGTCACACAGCTTTCTCCAAAAGAGCCTTCGGAACCGGAAGAAAGAGCCTGTCTTACCCAGAGCTTTCATGTAGCCATCGAAGTGCTCACTGGAGACGAGCTTCCAGGTGCCCACAAATCTGTTGCTCATTGCGCTGGATGAAAGCTCAGTCCAGTTCGCATGAGATCCAGGAGACTCCAATGAAATGCTGGAGCCTCAGAAGATGCTTTTCAAAGAAGCCCATAGCGTGCGACTCCCACAGAGACCCAGTGGGGAAAGGCCGTCAGGCCAGGGCGATGAATGGCTCGTCAGTCATCCATTAGCACAAAAGAAAACGTCACATAATGTTTCCTTTCATCTCCAAAATTTTTTATAAAAATCAATGAGAGTACTATTTGAACTTTCAAAAAAAATGTTGGTCAGTCTTACATTTTTAAGAAGTGCTTAGGTCCTTAATGCTTCAGGAAAGACTCCATGAATTGAGTCCTATACTGAACTAAATTATCTGAGCATGAATGAATGAAGGCGTGTGTGTGTGTGTGTGTGTGTGCGTGTGTGTGTGTGTTCAGGCATCTTTGTCGTTCTCAATCCTGACTCTGCAAATTAAGAACTCTTATTGAAAGAGAAGAAAGAGGGGGAATGTCCCTGATATTGTGATGACCGCCTCCACTCTGCTGTGGGAGAGAAAAGCCAGAAGCAGTGTGAGAGCGTAGTCATAGGTGAGGGAGGCTCGGCATAGCTCACATATTCAGGCGGGCAGAGTGGGCGGCACACACAGCCAGTGTGTTAGAGCAGAGACAGAGTCCGGATTCACACGGGGCAAGAATAGCTGCAACGTGCTCCTTGGGCCCAGCAAAGACTGTCATCTAAAAAAGACCTGGAGCCCAAATTAGGGAGGTTCTTAGTTAATACAGAAACTTTAAGTCCTTTAAAATAAATCTACAGTTATATAAAGAGAATGGATTTTCTATTAGAATAGTACTAATGTATACAGAGAGCTCCCTGTGGGCCAGTCACTGTGCTAAGTGGCTAATATGCATTATTTCCTGTAATCTGCAACAATTCCAGGAGTTAGGTACTATTATAATAAGCATTTTACCAAAGAGAAAAGTGGAGCTCATAGTGGTTAGGTAACTTGTTCCCACAACTTAAGAGAGGCAGGATTTGAACCTGGTGCTGTTCCCCAGTGCCTAGACGCCGGACCAGTATTTTGCACTGCTCCTCCTATGCATCTGTGCACAGAGGCCCTGGCCAAAGGTAGGCGATCCTGACATCACCAGGACTGGATAGAGACACTCATTCTCTGCTCAAAAATCAAGAGAGGAGCCCAGCCGGTGTGGCTCAGTGGTTGAGCATCTACCTAGGATCCAGGAGATCGCAGTTCCATTCCCTGTCAGGGCACATGCCTGGGTTGTGGGCTCGATCCCTAGCAGGGGGCACGCAGGAGGCAGCTGATCAATGGCTCCATCATTGATGTTTCCATCTCTCTCTTCCTCTCTCTGAAATCAACAAAAAATATATATTTAAAAAGAAATCGAGAGGTAAAAGTCAAGAGCTGAGGCACCCAGGCTACCACAGTCAACAGAGACCCAGTCTGTGACCAGGGGGAGCAAATGTAAAACCACCTCGAATAGAAGTGTTGCTCTTGGGAATAATACCTAGTTGCTGCCATGACTTTTCCTAGCAGCTTTTCCACACTGGCCCAGACAGCTGATATTACCAGGGTTTACATATTTAGTACTCAGGTTGGCACTCTTCACAGCCACAAAAACATCCTGTGATCAATTTGCTCATGACAGGTAGAATTGCTGGCCTCCAGGGCTCAGGTCGCCAGTGCCACAGCTGTGCCATAACCATTGCAATTATGTGGTTAGTATAACCTAGGTTGGAGGTTCAATCCCCAGTGGGGACACGTGCGGGAGGCAACGGGCCCATGTTTCTCTGGCACATCGATGTCTCTCTTTCTATCTATCTATCTATCTATCTATCTATCTATCTATCTATCTATCTAATCTATCTATCATCTATCTATCATCTATCTATCTATCTATCTATCTATCTATCTATCTATCTATCTATCTATATCTATCATCTATCTATCTATCTATCATCTATCTATCTATCTATCTATCTATCTATCTATCTATCTATCTATCTAATCTATCATCTATCTATACACACTTGAGTTCTTTAGGGAAGAAAAGGGACAACCCAATATATATATTAAACATATCCTCCAGGGAGGATTAAAAAAAAGAAAAAAAGATGAGAAGATGAAGGACTTCCTGCACTGGCCACTGCACAAGGCCTTCGACCCTCCCGCAGCCCTGTGAAGCAGATCTCTTCATTTTGCAAAGGGGAAAGTTCAGTGGTTAAGCTGCTCGTTTCAGGCTCACTCAGCTATCTGTACACTAAGAATGTTCAAAAATTATTTTTGTCAGTGAGTTACTAAATAGTATCGGGTAGCAAAAAGATTAATATCAGTATTAATCATGGTTTTAGTATGATTGATCTTTGGATAATTAATAGTTTTTTTGCAAACATCAGTGTGTTTTTTAAATATAATGGTTTACTATTAAGTTATTCACAACAAAATGTTCAAAAATAAAATATATTTTCCTGTGTGGCTTATAAAAGCTACTCTCATTTCCTTTTTTCAAACCCTTTGGAAAATGAGTAAATAATGACTTTTTATTGCTCAACTCACTATAATGAAGAGTTATTTCCAAAACAACTTGATAAAATTGACATTTCATCGTTTACTTATGGATAGATGATAAATCTGATACAACTTGATAAATGTGACGTGTTATCATTTACTCACAGATAGGTAATGACTTCTGCAGGCAAGTCAGATACGCCAAGAGACCGATCTCATAAAAGTAAGTTCTTAATAAAGACTAATGAGTCTAAATATGCACTTCAATGAATTTTTTTCTTACAGACATTTTGACATGATTTGACTGAGATTAAAAATAAAGGAGTAGGGTTTCGTGATGCCCCTGCTACTTGTGTCATCAGAAGGCAGCTGTGAACGTCACTCTAACTCATTTCCTGTCCCAGCTCCCGGGACAGTGCGGCTGAGTCACAGCTTGTTGAATGAATGATTTCCTTGGGGGTGGCGTGTTTGACACCACCTACTAGAGGCCCAACATCACGATTTTGTTTCTCATTTGGGCTCTGTACTTTGAGCTGTCACATTTATGAGAAGAGAAATAAGTCTTGAAAATTCACACCTGCATTATTCCTTTCTTAATTATACCTCTGTAAAGCCAAGGATTTAAATGAGTAAGTGCCCAGTGCTTGTTAGAGTCAGATCTTCCCCCCGATGGCTGCGGAACACACCCCCACCCTGCTCTGAGGTGTTGTGAAGGCCCCTGTCCTCTAATTAAGGAGGTGTTGGTCCCCGGTCCCTTTTCTGCACAGGACACTACCTTGGGGGCTGAAAGCCTCTTGACCCCTGGAGAGCAAGCGTGGTTACATCTCGTACACACTTGAGTCCTTTAGGGAAGGACAGGGACAGGTCTTGTGGGGGTCACCGTCGTTGCTCACCTCTGGCAGCTGTGTGGCCTGTCACTTCAGGTGCACTGCTATGTGCCCAGAGGTCTCCAGGGCCTCACCTGACAGCCCTAGCTGCTCTCCTTGTGAGGGTTCAGTTCCCCCCAAGCCCATGCTCAGTCCTGTGCGTACCCCAGTTTCCTCCTTACCCCCCAGAGTGCCTGGGACGGTCCAGTCTGTGCCTGTTGTCCCGGTGTAACCTCTGATAGTGCTCCTTTGCAGTGTCACTTCTCACCCAGGCTAGATGACGAAGGACATGGACATTCCATTTTAGCACACATTAAACACAACTCCAGACTTATTTTAACCAACTATTACCTATCTTTAAATTTAAGGTGCAACACAACACTTACATAATTCTTTCCTCCTCCCACTGCTACAAATACCCTCAGTTTTATAGGCTTTACCCTTTCATTTTACCTATAGTACTAGGTTTTGCTTAAGCCCTGAGAGTACTTCCTAGCAACAGTACTTGGTGAAACTATTAAGGGACTTTTTGTAGTTCCAACAATTACTTTCTTCCTGAACTTTTCAAAACTCAGGGCTGGCATTTAATGAAATGTCATTCTGCAAAGTCTGTGTTGTAAACAGTGGTGGCAGCGCACTAGCCTGGTTCTTTTACATGGGTTTATGGGTAACTAAGACAATAACTGGTGTGTGTTTTTAATGATTTCAGAAAGAGGAAGGGAGAGGGCGAGATAGAAACATCAATGATGAGAGCTATTGATCGGCTGCCTCCTGCACACCCCCTCCTGGGGATCGAGCCCGCAACGGGGCCTGTGCCCTGACTGGGAATCGAACCTCGATCTCCTGGATCCTAGGGCGATGCTCAACAGCTGAGCCATGCTGGCCGGGCGACAATAATTGTTTTTAAATGTTCTTCTATAACAGTGATTTTCAACAGCTGTGCCCAAGGAATTTTTTAAAGGTGCAATACCTCACTATTCAGCGGGGGGCACCGACCTCTTTTCCCTTAGACTGTCAAATTAAAAAATGACAACAGCAAACACAATAGCTGTTCAGTGTGAATGAATGAAACTTATACCTATTTTTTTGTGTCAGATACGCAAAAATTATAATTGATGTGCCACAGAATTTCAGTAATTAGTTTATATGTGCCATGAGATGAAATGTGGTTGAAATTCAAACACAGCATATAATGTCCTGGCTCTGTTTTGTTATCTACCTATTTCTCTGTTTATCTCTCCAACCATCCATCCATCCGTCCGTCCATTCATCCTAACCACTTTAAGCAGGGCCAGCCTTCTGCAAAAATAAAAAGCCAGCCATGCTGGTTTTCAGCCTCTGTGCTGCCCAAAGCAGGTCCCAATGATTCCAATGTTTCCCACTTGGAGGTCACATGAATTTCCACAAGGCATCATTTGACACATACCTGAACCTACATGGACCAGGTCCCCGGGAGGGATCTGCAGGCCTCTGGAAGTCAGGTAGGCAGGGGACAAAGAGGACGCTGGTGCCCTGCGATCACACCACAGGCCCCACCAGTTTATCAGATTGTCCCTAACTCTCAATATCACACAACTCCGAAACTGCACCTAATTTGATGCTTTTATTGAGCACATTTATATTAAGCAATTCTTAAATCACTGGCCTGGGGCGTGTCTTCTGCAAGCCCCCATTTTCTGTTAGTGAGGCGTTTTCACTGATGCACATGCCTTCTTCACACCTTTTTGAAGACTCTCGTGCTGACAACCTTGTTCATGGTATGTTTCTAAAAGCAAAGAGGGGTCTGTTAGAGCTGGAAGCTGGCAGGTTAAGCTTGCTCCACCCCTCTTCCCCAGACCTGAGAATCAGGGTGCAGACGGAGCGACCGAGTCACTCGAGAGGCCTGTTTCAAATAGGAACATCTAAAAAGTCCCATTTACAGAAAACTCACCGCTATCATTTTCCCATGTACAATTTGTCTTGTGATTGCTGTCTCTTTGTCGAGCCATTTTTGGACATGGACCAGTGAGCCGTTAACTAACGTTATGATGCTCTATACATACATAAAGGAATCAGTTAGGAAAAGCGATTCACTACATTCTAAACTACACAAGGCTACACTTTAATTTCTATTTTGAAATTTTTTCCTCCAAAATCCTCACCTCAGTGCTTGTTGTAATTTAATACCATCAAACTAGAGAAGTTTCCAGAGATTGCTCAATTAACACCCCCCTCCACACACAAACCATACCCAAAAGACTTGTAGGCAATTGTTTTCCTCTATATGATTTTTAAAATTTTTTTTGCCCTGGCTGGTGTCACTCAGTGGTTAGAGTGTTGGCCCAGGCACCCAAGGATCACAGGTTCGATTCCTAGTCAAGGGCATGTAACTGGGTTGTAGGGTCAAACCCTGGCCCTGGTCAGGGCATGTGTGGGAGGCATGGTTGTGTTTCTCTCACATCGATGTTTCTCTCTCTCTCTCCCTCCTGCCCTCCCTTCCACTTTTTCCAAAAAAAATAACTGAAAAAAATATCCTCAGATGAAGATTAACAAAACTTTTACAAAATTTTTTTGTTAATCCTCACCTGACGATATTTTTTAGAAAGTGGAAGGCGGGGAGTGAGGGAGGGGGAGTAGGGGAGGAGGAGAGACAGAAACAGAGACAGAGACAGAGAGACAGAAACGTCAGTGGGAGAGAGACACGTTGATTCGTTTCCTCCCACGTGCACCCCAACCGGGGTCAGGGCTCAAACCTACAACCCAGGTACGTGCCCTTGACTGGAAATCGAACCTGTGACTCTTCGGGACACAGGCAGATGCTTAACCACTGAGCAACACTGGCCAGGGCTATATGCTTTCTTTATACAATGGCAAAGAGAGAGAGAGACCAGAAAAAAAGGGAAAACATGTTAAACTTTTTGGCCCTGTCAATCATCAGAATAATTTGCAAAAAGATCGACTTTGGAGATGTGCAACATGAATGAACAAAACAAGCCCGGAGTGACCTGATTAATGAAATTAGATATAAACAGACCTCGCCCAACCGCCTTCTAGTTTTCCCCGACTGGGAAGCCCCAGGACAGTTTGGCCCTCACCTTCACCTTCCGGTTGTCCGCCGTGGTTTCGTCGAACTCCTCGCCGAGCCTGAAGGAGATCTCGAAGTTCTTGAAGGAGGTCTCCGTTCTGATGCTCACCTTCCCCCCGCGGGCGCTGATGCTGAGCTTCGGCTTCTCCAGGGCAGCCAGGTGCCGGATGGTGACGGGCACCCCTGCGGGCCGAGAGGGCAGCCGAGCTTCTTAGGACGGTTAGGAGGAAGCGCCTGCTGTCACTTGGGAAGCAACTGAAAACGAATGGCTGCCTCCCCGCTTGAAGTTTGGGGTGACGGGCTGTGACTTCTTCAGTGCTCTCTGTGACGGCTGCATGGAGGCAGGCCCTCCAGCCGGGGGGGTGTCTAGTAATTCTACCTGTCATTTTGCAGAGCTAGCCTCACTTTTTGAGCCTGCGCCTCATCTAAAATGAGTGTTTCTACAGGTGATCAGATGCTGGTGTAGGGGCGTCATGACCCTCATTTTAGAGACTAGGACACGGTGTCCCAGAGAGGTCAGGAAACTCATTCTGGGTGAGGCATCCGGTAAGGAGCAGAACGAGACTTAAACACAGGTTTTCTAATTATCCAAGAATTTTAGAACACTTTTTTTCTCTTCCTTAAAAAAATCAAGAAATACAATTTTCAAAGCACCTAAACTGCTTTAAAAGAACATGACTCACAGAGTTCAAGCTCCTGTCTCACTTGCAGGTTCGGTCCCACCCGGCTGAGGAGAGAGGAGGTGGCCATCTAGGCCATTTGGCTGAGAACCCGGGCCTGTGGCTCCGGTTGGGACAGTCCATTGTCAAAGTCGGCCCCTGCAGGAGGTGGCGGAAGAGCTGACCCCTCTCTCAGTATCGGCATCAAACCCGTTTCCCATTCAGATTGCGGGGCAGCAGGACCGGAGGGCGCCAGAAGACAGGAGGCTGAGCGGTTGAAGCTGGGCTCCGGCTGCGCCCGCTCGGGCACGTTGTGTCCATAGTCAAGCACGCACAGCCACAGGCTGCCCTCACGGGTGTGTGGGGGACGAGGTGCAAGGACTTAGGTGGTAAGTGGCACGTAGTAGGTGCTCGGCTGTATGCCCTCTTGCCTCTGCCTAAGCCCAGCTCCCAGTCAGCACAAATGCTGCTCTTGCCAGAAGCCCCAAGTTTCTTAGATGTCCCCAGACTTAAACTCAGGACAGGTGAGTATATGAATCCATGAAGAGATAGTCCCTGAGAAGTTAATGCTGATTATGAAAAAGGAACAAGTATTATATTATGAGCACCTTGACTTCTTATGATGCAGGGATCGTTTCAGCCAAGTTAAAAAGAAGTTAAGAAATCCTTGACTGTATATACAGTTCATTATTGCAGGAGAGGTTTCTCTTCATTAAGTATTAAAATTTACTTAATTAGATAAATAATTACTGTTCTTCTAGCATTTGTAAAGAATAGTTTAGTTGCTATAGACCCAAACCACTATAATTGATGTTTATGCAACTTGGGTAAGAGCTCAAGGGTGGATAGGATTTATACTTCTGAGAAATAGCCAATGGTGAGACATTTAATGGGGAAAAATGTTCCATTTCTCCAATAAAAGAATTGAAATTCTTCAAAATAATGTTTTAAAAGTATCTTTCACAGATGTCAGAACTCTAAAAATTAACCCACTAGAAAGTTCATTATCTCTCTTTTGAAGTTATAACTTAGAGCAAACTTTGAAACAAATTTAGTTGATAAATTTAATTATAGGTAGTTATTAGTGTCCATAAATTTGAAGCTGTGAAAGGCTATTTGATGAAATGATCAAGCTAAAGAGAAACTCTATCAAGAGATTATTTTCAAAATATTTTTCCAAATATTTTCATGAAGGATAAATGCAGCCCTGGCTGGTTTGGCTCGGTGGTTACAGGGTCGGCCCCCAGGCTGGAGGGTCCCCAGTTCAATTCCAGCCAAGGGCATGTACCTGGGTTGCAGGCTTGATCCCCAGCCCTGGCCATGGCAAGGGAGGGAGGCAGTGGATCGATACGTCTCTCTCACATCGATGTTTCTCTCTCTCTTTCCCTTTCACTCTCTCTGAAAAGCAATGGAAAAAATATCCTTGGGTGAGGTTTGAAAAAAAGAAGAAATGGACTTAAATATATGGATGATGGCCTGGCCAGGCGTGGCTCAGCAGTTGAGCGTCGACCTAGGATCCAGGAGATCAGGGTTCAGTTCCCGGTCAGGGGCCTGCAGGAGGCAGCCAATCAATGACTCTTTCATCACTGATGTTTCTCTCTCTCTCTCTCTCCCTCTCTTTTCCTCTCTCTGAAATCAATAAAGACATATTTTTTAAAAATAAATTAAAAATATATGGATGATGAATACAAAGAGGTATATGTGAACCTCATAGTCCCAAAAGAGACAATTATTACTAGGAACAAAAAAAGCAAAAGTAGCTCCATGAACTTTGTTAATCTCATGTGAATGTACCCTGGGATCGCAAAGGAGTGAGGAGGCTGAGGGAGCACTCACGGTAAAGCACAAGCCCCAACCCATCGCAGGATGCGTGGCCGGTTTCCCAACCTCGCCATGGTATTTCTCACCCAGTTGTTCCAAGTATTCCTCGAAGTTTTCACTGGATTCCAGTTTCCAAGTTCCCAGGAAGGGCTCGATCATGGTGGAAAGCTTGCTGAAGGAGGCGCTCACAACTGGAAGCCAAAGAAACTGTGCTACCAGCATCTTCATTTACAAGGCATCTTCGTCATGTGACTCTTCTGAAATGGCCAATGGGCAGCAGCAAGACCAGAGTCCAGACACCAGAGTTGACTCATTGTATCTACCTCCAAATTAAAGTGCAGAAAATTAACATGTGGAGTTGAATTAGGTCAACAATTATAGCTTCTAGCAAAGAGATTTACACCCCCAGGGTCACCCAATACGTATAACTCGTGGAATGGAAACAACTTTCAATGGAAGTCAGCCTTTTGAACGAATGCCTAGTCACCTCTGAAGGAATCTCCTGACAGATATCCGAGGAACACCCGACTGGGGTGTTTTCCCACCTGACACAACCACGGCCTTGCTTGGCTGCACCCCAGCTGTGTTTTGTTTGCACAGATATTGTTGCCTGAGAACTCTCTTCATTAAAATAATGTCCTCTCCTCCCTTCCTTGAGGGTTGATGAACTGATATCGGTTAATGTAACTGAAATATCTACACTTGCTTGGAGTGAGGTGTGGGCTATTATTAATATTATCATTGTTTTTCATCAAGAGTAATTATGGACCAGGAAGAAACGTAACAATTACCATTGATTAGTGTTCTGTAACTCAAGCTCAACAAAGGAGGGAGAGCAAGTGCTTGGAAAATTCATTTTTTAGACTTACGAAGTAAGCTCGATATTAAAAGACACCACTTGAAATTGTGAGGGAAAGTTTTTGGGAGGAATACAGTATTTCGATATATGCATTCTAAAGACAAAGGAGCAGATCATGTAAATCTCTGTGCAGTTAAGTTTGAAATCATCTTCTGCAACCCAAATAATGAAAGTAGACTTTGCAAGTATTGTGTTTACCAACAAGGATTATACAGGGTGGGGCAAAAGTAGGTTTATAGTTGTTCATATGGAAAATAATACAATAATTAATAAATAATAATACAGAATAAATTGCATTTCGAGTGCTCACAACTGCAAACCTACTTCTGCACCACCCTGTAGTCTGAGGCTGTGGATTTATATCTCAGCTCTAAGCTCCAGTTGTTTTGAAGGAGGCTGGAAAATTAGAAAAATATTCACACTATTTTGTTTTTTAATTTTAAACTTTCTTCCTTTTTATTGAATTGATTGGGGTGACACTGGTTAACAAAATTATACATGTTTCAGGTGTACAGTTCTATGATACATAATCTGTACACTGTGTGTTCACGGTCCCAAGTCAAGTCTCTGTCCATTACCATTTGTCCCCACTACACCCTCCTCTAACCCCCCACCCTCTCCCCACAGCAATCACCACACTGTTGTCCCTGACCAAGAATTGTTTCTCCTTTTTTTCAATCCCCCCACACACACCCCCGGGGAGCCCACCGGAAAACAGCTGCCAACCTGCTCTCTATCTATGAGTCTGTTTCTATTTTTGCATCCTGTTATCTGTCTGTGTTAAATATTCCTTCAATTCGAAGAAATATTTATTCAAGCCATCTCTTTGTGGAAAAAACAAATATTTTAAAAAGGCTGAAGAATTTCTTTTGATGAAAACACATAAGGAGGGCATTTATAAGGCAACATCTTTATGCGTGGGATAGTTATTGAAGTTTCTGGAGGGGAAAACGGGAAGCGGAAACCCTAGAGTCGGTTTCAGGAAACCGAGACCTGGACTCGAGATAAGTGTGTTCCTGGTGGAAAATGTCCTCAGAGGTGACGGTCCAGCGAGGAGCGCAGGCCTAGATCTTGCCTGACGGGGGCTGGGTGTGCGTGCATCCCTCCCGAAGGCCGGCATGCTTGCCCGCGGGCTAGTGGGCCAAAGTTCTCCCGTTAGTGGAACCGCGCTTTCTCCACTCCCTCTGCCACTGATGGATCCAGAAATCAATCCTGGCCCATGAGACCAACGGAAAGGCAAGTTCTGGCTTCTAGAAGATGTCCTTACCCCTGGGAGAGAGCCCGAGGGATGGTCTCCCTTCTCCTCTGCACGGTTTGCTTTCTTGTTACCAACTCCAAGGTTAATACCGAAGCTGAGGATGGCAGGGTGCAAAGCGGGGGGGACCTGGGGCCACTTCATTTCTGAAATTCTTATTATGTGAATTAATAAATTCCATTAGTATTTAAAGAGTTTTGTGTCAGAGTTTTTGTGACTTGCACCTTAAGCCTTCGTAACCGCTGTGCCTTTGTAAACAGCTTCACTCGAGTGATGAGCTTGGAGCCTCAGAACAACCCCTCACACGCTACACAGGATACCGGCCTGTGTGCACAGCCTCAAGGCACCACCCATCTTTCCCGATCCAATGCCAGCATCTCTGTGACAGTGGCTCAGAGCTGGTGGGTCCCTATTATGTGACTCAACTACACTTTAACAGAAGTGTCTTAGAGAATTCTTCTCATAGTATTGCAATGAGTTAACCTCCCACTGTCCCCTGAGCTACTTTATGTGTGTATCGAGGAAAGAAAATATTTCTTAGTCACCTCTGCATCCCTAAGGCGGTGCCCAGTACATTGTAGGTGCTCAATAAATGTTTGATGAGTGAATGACAAAAGCGATAAGCAGGACTTACTTCCTTTTGACTGACAGCTTCCCGCCTTGCTGATCCTAATCTAACAGTGACCAGAGACAAGTCTGAATAAGTTGTCCTCACCTGGCCTGGTCCTGTGACGGGCCCTTGTTGTGGTCCTCGGCTGGTGGAAGGGTTCGCAGCCTCCCTCAGCTTTGCTCAGCGCCTCACAAGACCACAAAAACCTCCGTCTTCAACCGAGACAGCTCTCCGCCCGTGCTGCTAGTCTTTGGCACCTTTGTTTTAGTATAAAAATAAACAAAAGAACAAAACCCAAACCATTTCCTGAAGTAAAAATATGTCAAGTTAGAATGTTTTTAATTACTGATTCTAATAAAGGAGCTAGAATTCTAATAAAGGAACTAATAATTCTAATAATAAACAGTAATTTGTTAGAGAACCGTTACACATCTTGTTTCCAGGACGATTTCAGTGCTTATTTCTCCATTATCTCATTTTATACGCTTCTACAATATCTCATCGTCTATATCAACTTTTTTTTCTTGTGACATTTTACATGTTAAGATGTTTTAATAAATTTTAATTTTGAGATGCTACATTCTCCACTGGTGAGGCATACTGGTAAAGTTAAACATACCAGAAGCTATAAAAGTTTTCAGAAATACGTCTAGTAATTTATTGCTGTATGTATAATATTTTAACTGGAGCCATACTAGATTTTTTCTAATTATCTTTATTGTAGTAGAATACACGTAACATAAAATTAACTACCTTGATCAGTATAGTTCAGTGGAATTAAATACATTCATATTGTTGCACAACCATCCCAACCATCCACCTCCAGAACTCCTTTCACCGCGAAACCCTGCAACTCTATAGCCATTAAGCAACAACTCCCCTCTCTTCTTTTCCCCCAGCCCCTGACAACCACCATCCTATGTCCTGTCTCTGATTTTGACCTCTCAGTACCTCATATAAGTGGAATCATACATTATTTGGTGGGGGTTTTCTGTTGGTGTGACTGGCTTACTTCATTCAGCACATCCTCAAGGCTCATTCATGTTGTAGCATATCTCAGAATGTCCTTTAACACTTAATAATATTCCATTGTATCAACAGACCACATTATGCTTACCCATTCATCTGTCAATGGACACTGGGATCGCTTCTACATTTTCGCTAAATTCCTATGACCAGCAACTTATCTTCTGGCCTCTTCATATGTTGGTGTTATATATAGGATAGGCGTTCAGAAAATAATGGGCATATTTTAAAAGGAAGTATCATAAACACAATTATATCAACTGCAACACACATTTTAACAGATGTTGGCTTACTATAAAGTGTAAGTATACGGTTTGGAAATTTCATTCTGTGTACATAGAACTCCAGTGGTCCGTGAGGTGCCTCAAAGCTTCCATACGGCAAAAGAAATAACTCACACACACACCTACACACACACACACACACACACACACACACACCCCTACCTGAAAGGCCTCACTGTCATTTCTGTCTGTGTTATATATTGTAGCTCTATGGAGATTTCATTTGAATAAAAAATTCCAGAATAGATTCAACATTTTATTTGAACAAAAAGTTCCACTGGTGAGAAAAACTTGGAAACCACTATGAGGACATTTGCATCATTACTGATTACAAGGCTGTCACCTCATTTCCGGAATGAATATTATGGGATTATTTGTACTTAATTCCTGAGAGGCTCCAGAGACGGCTTGGTTTTCCAGTAACTTTGCAGGTTAAAAATGGTAGCCTAGAAATCTTTTTCTACAACCTGCATTGTTACTCTTGTTGCTCCAGGACAGGTCGGTGGGAATGACCGCACCTGGGCCAGTGGGCTGTGAACTGTTTGAGGACAGCTCAGGCTTCCCATGTTTTATTGAACTTCACAGAAACTGTGTTTTTCGCAAATGGAAGGTTTGTGGCGACCTTGTGTCGGGCAAATCTATCAGAGCCATTTTCCCAGCAGCATTTGCTCGTGTCGTGTCTCTGGGTCACACAGTGGCGATTGCCACAATATTTCAAACTCTCTCATTACTCCCATTCTATTTGTTATGACCTGCGATCAGTGATCTCTGATGTGACTAGGGCAAGACTCTGCACCAGCAATGAGATTACGGCCCACTGAAGGCCCAGACGATGGTTAGCATTTTTTAGCACTAAAGAATTTTTAAATTAAGGGATGTGCATTGTTTTAGACATAATTACACACTTGATAGTGCAAACATAACTTTTGTGTGCACCAGAAAACCAAAAATTTCATGTGATTCGCTTTATTGCAATACTCACCTTATTGAGGTGGTCTGGAACTTAACCCACAAAATCTTCAAGGGGTGCCTGTCATCCCCCCTTAACCATGGTTTCAGTTATCCGAGGCCAACTGAGGCAGGAGAATATTAATTGAGAAATTCCAGAAAGAAGCAACTCATCAATTTTAAGCTGCATGCCTTTCTGAGGAGCGTGATGACCCCTCACACTGTCCTCTGTCCCTCCTGGGATGTGAATCGTCCCTTTGTCCAGCATCTCCCCACCTGTTAATCACTCAGTAGCATCTTGGATATCAGATCAAGTGTCCTGGTATCATGGTGCTTGTGTTCAAGGAAGCCTTATTTTACTTAATGATGCCACATTCACAAAACTTTTATTATAGTATATTGTTATAATTGTTCTATTTTATTACTAGCTGTGTCACTCTCTTACTGTGCCTAATTTATAAATTAAACTTTATGGATGTGTAGAAAAAGCATAGCATGTATCGGGTTCTATGCTCTCTGTGGTTTCAGGCATCCACTGGGGGTCTTGGCACATATCCCCCGCAGATAAGGGGTAATTACTGTACTTTTAGAACTACCTTTAGCCTCTGTGAGCATTACTTGATTGAACTAAAGAAGAACTTCATGTTCTGTAATAGCACATCTTTATCAATTTTTTACTAACAGTGGAAAATTCATGAATATTAATATTTTTACCTTGGATTATTATGAAAAACCATATTGCTTACACCAGAAACAAAGCAACAATACAATTTTCTTTTTCTTTCGCTGAGTTATAAGAAATTCTCTGGCACAATGAATAAATCATTACATCACCTTCTAACTCTAAAACGTTTTATTTAACCAACACAACCACATTAAGTAAAATCAGATTGGGGGGAAATTAGTTGCTTGCTAATTAGTGGGAAACAGCAATATATGTTTGGACAACAGAATGTCATAGAGTTCGATGCAAACTTCCATCCAGTTCAATGTCCCTCGGCTTATGCTCGCTCGTAAACTCTGGTAGCAGTGACGCCTTTCATGGTACATTCCTAGACACACAAAGACATTCTCGGTCAATCACGGGACTAGACCATTGCTTTGTTTATTGTGTCCTTTGGTGTTGGGGAGGAAACAGTACTCATCTGAAAGGTATTTGTTCTGGGCTCCTATATACACCTGATGTTGTGTTAAATCCTAGAGATGTAAAGACTGAGAAGATACAAGTCTTCTCCTTAAGGAGCCTTACAGTCTAGATGGCAAGGGAGGGATACACGCCAAAGTCCATAATAGACGTGGGGCGTGCTCCCTGGGGCCGGGGAGTGCTTCCTGGCCCACAGCACGTCCAGGCTGAGCTGTCAGCATGAAGGCCAGTTGCCCAGTGAAAGCACAATCCCCAAAGAATTGCTCTTGGTTCTACATACGCAACAGCGATGGTGCTTGTTTAGGTGGGATGATGGTTATAAGACGGCCTAGCGGTGGAATCTGGCAGCTGGGACACACTCACCACCACCAGCTTATCATCCACTCGCTTTCTCTTGATGGTGGTTGACTTCCCATCCCATTTCTGCACCTGTACCAGGGCACCTCCGTCTAAGGTGATGATGCTCTGCAGGTGCAATAAAGAAGGTTAGTTACAATTGGTACATGGTGCAGGGAAACAAAATGAAAAATACACCATTTTTGCCTGAAGGCATCTTTGAGGTCATTAGAAATTATAAATTACAAGAATACATTGCAACAAGAAAATAAATGAATGTCAAAAATAAAAGTACAAAGTTATATATACATTATGATCTGAATATCAGACAAACATGCACCTGAAAAAATATTGTGAAAGAATATAGATAATAAATTTATGTTGAGATGGTAGTATTGTAAGTGATTTTTAAAACTTGTCCCACTCTGCCCGGCCGGGTGTGGCTCAGCGGTTGAGCGTTGACCTGGGATCCAGGAGATCAGGGTTCAATTCCCGGTCAGGGCACATGCCCAGGTTGCGGGCTCTATCAATGACTCTCTCATCATTGATGTTTCTGTCTCTCTCTCCCTCTCCTTTCCTCTCTCTGAAATCAATGAAGATATATTTTTTAAAAAATAAAATAAATAAAACTTGCCCCACTCTATAAATTTGTCTAACATTGTGTTACTTTAATCCACTTCAAATACTATATATATGGTATGACAAATTATGTTAATTGTTTCTTAAAATAATAGGGACAACTTTATAACAAGGAGTAAAATTCACCAACTAAGCAACAAAGGCAACATGTTTTAGATGTAGGAGGGCAGGGACCACTGTGGTGGACGGTTTTTCCTCCGTTTACAGAAATGCTTCTGGGAGGCAGCACTTGGTCACACAGACGCCAGGCTTTTCCTCTGCCCCAATCCTTTGTTCCTCACCTTGACTTTCCTGTCATCTGCAGTGACTTCGTCAAATTCCTGGCCCAGTTTGAAGGAGATCTCCGTGTTTTTAAAGGTGCTTTCTGATTTGATGGTGATCACATCCCCATTGACAATGACAGTCATGTTGGGCTTGGCCATGCCGGCCACTTTCCTGGTGGCAAAGCCCACTCCTACAGGAGGGAAGAAGGGAAACGTCACGTTTACAGGTTCCTCTCTCATCTTTAAGAGCTACAGTGTGGATACGTGTGTGTAGGTGGGGGCACATGTGCATAAAAGGGAAACCGGTGAGTTTCTGAATTGCTTCATTTAAACAGCTCCTGCGGATAAGTAAAGAGGCTAATATTTAAAGAAATGCATGATACACAATTAGCTGTAGGTTTGTTTTTAAATTTCCCTTCTGCAGTTCAAATGCAGCTCCTTGGGAGACCCAGTGTTAACTTTCAATAAGACTAAGTCTTCCAGAATGTGTGTTTTTAACAAGTGACTGCACTCACATTAAGTGGCCACCTCAGCCATTGGGGCAGCCACTGGCATTTCACTCAATTCATGGAACCCTGGGGCACTGTGACCTTTTTCACTTAGATAAAAATGATCTAATCCACAGTCGAAGACGGAATTCTCAATAGGATAGTGGGGCCAATATAGAGTTACTCCATTAAAAAAAAAAAGTCATCTCTTTGGGTGTCCAGAAATTACATCTCATAGCTTTTGCTGCCCAGACTTTTTCATATCAGTCCACCATGAAGATTTGGATAAATTTCTCCAAAGGCAAAATGTTTTCTACATTCATATCATTTTAGAATGGTCATGTGGCTCCCAATCAATTATAGGAAAGGTTAAAGGGTGCCTAGGCATTGATTGTGAAAACTTCAGAATTCAAGAAATCACTATTTTAGTAATCAATATTTTGATTCCTAGTCACCTAAGTTTCAAATTTATCTTTTGTCTTCAGAGGAATCTACTTTTCTCGTGAAGGGAATGGGATGGACAATTCACAACCCAACAGACACAGCAGTAACTTGATCTCCCTGCGTGTGTTGGATTTTTTAAACACATGTACGTAAATCTAAACTACCTCCTTGACTAAAGGTTACTTACAGGTACCAAAGGTTAGAAATGAGGGATCAGGGAGAGAAATAGTGAACAAATCAACTGGTGTTGAGGCTCTGATTTAGCTCCCTGCTGGAGAAGTGGCCACAGGTGGAAACATAAATACATTGCTTCAAATCCTGACTCTGTTACCAAATATAATATCAAATACGGAGAGGGAGTCAGCACAGTGACTGCACCCAAGGCCCAGTGTGGTTCCAGAGGGGCCAGCCTGGGGCAAAGCCATACTCTCCAGTTGCCTGATTCTGTCCTTGTTTGACTAATGAAGGTGATACCTGCTTACCAATCACCAATTAGAGCAGCTAGTGTCTTATCATCAGTACTTTCTCATTTAAAACACAGTAGTAGAAGAACTTAAATATAAATAGCAAAAGTGTAAAATGTTTCTAAAAATCAGTAACCAAATAGCTTCAAATCCTGGCATTTCTCTATCAGCACATATTCATAAATGGAATCAAAACTGATTGTCATTTTAGAAAGTTAGGTCTCACTCATGCTGGAGTCTCTGATTTCCCTCTTCCTCTATAAGTAAGGAACATAGTGTTATAGACAAGCAAAAATACACTGTGTGACTTGGGGGAAGTTACATCTTGAGATTTAGGGAATAAATCACAACCCCTCATAAAGATACTGTGTGAAAGTCCTTCCTGATTCGTCCCCTGGATGCGACTTGATCATGGGCCTGGGAGGGGGGCTCTCAAGGTGCAGGTGCCTGGAGGTAGGAACCTGCCTTCCTACAGCCTTGCTCTCCCTCCTTAACTATCTGGGGGACCTCTGCAAGGAAGGCTGGCAATATTAGTGGAATCTAAACACCCAGGAGCCTCCATTATCCAAGAGCACCCATGTTATATATGTAACACTCCCCTTTCACATTACTCAATAATTCCATGGCACCCCCTGGATTTGTTGGTCACAGAAATATTTAAGCCCTTTAAGGAGCATATTCTCTAAAATTAAGACTTTTGGAGGAAGGGGCATTCTGGGGCTGGGTGAAATAAGTAAAGGGATTAAGCAAAAAAACAGACAAAAAACAACCCTCATAGACACAGACAACAGTGTGGTGATTACCAGAGGGAAAGGGGGTGGGGGNAATGAGGGATCAGGGAGAGAAATAGTGAACAAATCAACTGGTGTTGAGGCTCTGATTTAGCTCCCTGCTGGAGAAGTGGCCACAGGTGGAAACATAAATACATTGCTTCAAATCCTGACTCTGTTACCAAATATAATATCAAATACGGAGAGGGAGTCAGCACAGTGACTGCACCCAAGGCCCAGTGTGGTTCCAGAGGGGCCAGCCTGGGGCAAAGCCATACTCTCCAGTTGCCTGATTCTGTCCTTGTTTGACTAATGAAGGTGATACCTGCTTACCAATCACCAATTAGAGCAGCTAGTGTCTTATCATCAGTACTTTCTCATTTAAAACACAGTAGTAGAAGAACTTAAATATAAATAGCAAAAGTGTAAAATGTTTCTAAAAATCAGTAACCAAATAGCTTCAAATCCTGGCATTTCTCTATCAGCACATATTCATAAATGGAATCAAAACTGATTGTCATTTTAGAAAGTTAGGTCTCACTCATGCTGGAGTCTCTGATTTCCCTCTTCCTCTATAAGTAAGGAACATAGTGTTATAGACAAGCAAAAATACACTGTGTGACTTGGGGGAAGTTACATCTTGAGATTTAGGGAATAAATCACAACCCCTCATAAAGATACTGTGTGAAAGTCCTTCCTGATTCGTCCCCTGGATGCGACTTGATCATGGGCCTGGGAGGGGGGCTCTCAAGGTGCAGGTGCCTGGAGGTAGGAACCTGCCTTCCTACAGCCTTGCTCTCCCTCCTTAACTATCTGGGGGACCTCTGCAAGGAAGGCTGGCAATATTAGTGGAATCTAAACACCCAGGAGCCTCCATTATCCAAGAGCACCCATGTTATATATGTAACACTCCCCTTTCACATTACTCAATAATTCCATGGCACCCCCTGGATTTGTTGGTCACAGAAATATTTAAGCCCTTTAAGGAGCATATTCTCTAAAATTAAGACTTTTGGAGGAAGGGGCATTCTGGGGCTGGGTGAAATAAGTAAAGGGATTAAGCAAAAAAACAGACAAAAAACAACCCTCATAGACACAGACAACAGTGTGGTGATTACCAGAGGGAAAGGGGGTGGGGGGGGTAGAAGAGGGTACAGGGGGGTAAATGGAGATGGAAGGAGACTTGACTTGAGGTGGTGAGCACACAATACAACACACAGATGATGTATATAGAATTGTACACCTGAAACTTATATCATTTTATTAATTAATGTCACCCCAATAAATTCCATTAAAAAAAAAGATTTTTAACCGTACAAAACAACCACACATTTCAATGGACTGACATTAAGACAATAAAGTAATTGGTTTACATAGGTCTACTTTAAAAATTACATGAGAACTTAGTGCCTTCAGTGTCAAAGGACTTCATTGCATGCCAGGAAATAAATATGGTTGTATTTCCAAGTTATCGCTCCTTTTTTATTGCAAGAAGGAATGAAAGAAAAGCAGGCAAAAAGCCAAGTAAACCAAAGATGCCAAAGTTTAGCAATCAAATAAAATCCTGTCATTTCTGCAGCCCATAACTATTCCATTTAGACCCTTTTTCATATTGGTTCACCTGTCTACATGCTTCTGCAAACGAATGAGTCCCACTTGCTGCTTTTGCAGCCTCTGTGCAGAAAGCAGCATTTTCTACCTGGCCAAGGTTTCCCAAGCGAAAAGCAGCCACCAGCCCCTTTCCCCAGAGAAAAGGGAATAACTCCAGGCCTCCGGCCGCCTGTTTGCTTACCCACTTCTTTCATGTAATCATCGAAGTTTTCGCTGGAGACCATTTTCCAGGTGCCTACGAAAGCATCACACATTTTGCAGGCCGTCTGGGATGACTGTGCGAGGAGGGAAGATGCTGGAGCCTTCGGGAAGGATTGTGCCCCGGAGCCCAGCGAACGTCCTTTTAAAGATGCCGGGAGCACGTGTTCTGAGTGGGGACCAATTGGGACTGATATGGGACCGTTTCCTTCATTACCAGACTCTGCATTTTCCTCTCTGAGTCATGTTTTTAATAGAAATTTCTCAACTTTGGCTCCCCCTGGCAAATGGTCATTGGACTGAGAGTACAGATTATTTTTAACCACTCACAGAATATTTTGAACATGCCTGTTTTGATGGTTTTAATCCTCAGTGCATTGCATTTCCCCCTATTATTTTCATATGTATTTGTCCCAGTGTAGAGCAGAGCTGGGTAATTGTCTTGGGATGAACTTTGACCCCCTTTTCTGGTGTTTCTATTAAAATTACAGTTAAGTGGTTCTTTTGAATTGAGGAGCGTAAGAATTACCTTAGGGATTTTTAAGTAATTGCAAAGGCCCTTTGGGACAGTGCTCTAGAGAATTACCTGGCAACTAAAACAAAATAAATAATGGCATTTTAAAGTACCCCAGGTTTCTCATTTAAAATGTTTTGCATGAATAAGAAAGGAAAAAGGAAATTCAATTAATCCACCAGAAATCTGGACTTTAGATTTAATTATAAATAATAATTTTGCCTCACTCTTTCATCCTCTAAATGAGAGAATATATATATGATAGATTTCCACAAACTCCTTAAAAAATAGGCCCTAAGCCAAAATATACTCCTCATATGAAGAAAATTTATTCATTTCCTAAATTACATTATAAGCTCTAAATTTATCCAGATCTAAAAGGTATCACTTGAAAATGATCAGAAGTGGCCTGGTCAGAAATAGTCAAAATATTGTTTCCTTCTTTTACATAGAGAATCACCCATGACATGGTTTTTCTAGAGTGATCATGGTTTTCAACTCTGCCGTAGCATCCCAGAATGATCGAAGACCTTCGTATGTGCCGCAACTCCCACAAACATACCCAGATTTCAGGAAAGAAACAAGAAACTAAAATATTGTGGAGGAATGATCTGCTGCTTTGTGTTTCCACTGAACAGTATCTGCTTAACCCACCATCGATTTGATTGATCCGCGGACCCATGTCAGTATCCTGAGGGCCTCCCAAAAACATTTGGGGCAGAGGCTACAGTAGTAATTTTTGATTGTTGCATTTGTTATTGGTACAGTGATAGTGTCCCTCCACTCTGGACAGCTACACAGATTCAAAGGCTGTGGGGGAGGTACCGCTCCAGGGGCCAGCTGGCTGTTATCAATTCCTCCCCTGTTCACCCTGAGCGATTGAATAAAGATGACCCATCTTAACACAGAGATAACTTTGTGTTACGTTCTAACTTAATAATGGTTTACTCTTTTGTTTTGTTTTGGTTTTGTGTTGCCTTGCTTTTAAGACTATTTTTTAGAGAAGTTTTAGGTTTACAATAAAATTGAAAGGAAGGTACAGACCCTACGTCTACTGACCCCAACACACACACATGCATAACCTCCCCATTATCAACATCACGCAGAATGGTACCTTTTTTTTTTTTTTTTTTTTTT